TAGAAAACTGACGCCACTGTCGTGATCTCAACGGCTGTGTGGTGGAGCATGCCAAAACATTCTCTCAGACCTTGCCCCTCCCGCGACATGAGAAACAACTAGCTTCGAAGGAAATGCTATGGTGCCTAGTTTGCCAAACTCCGCAGCACCGGCGGTTGATTCAATGCTCGATGAGCGCCCGCATTTTCTCTACATATCCCGTTCTTCCCGAAAGTCTCCCCTTCTTTGAGAGAGAATTCTGAATCAGAAAGACGAGATCTGTAAGTTCTAATGCGGTGTTCGCTGCAAAAGATGTAAAGCTAATAGACTCTATATATCCTGGGTAAGGATAGCGGCGGCGACTCACTTGGCTCCGGTCTACAGCTCTTACGCCGAGTTGGTCGCTGTCGAACGGCTCATCGAATGGTTGATGCATCGAAATCTGGATAGAGGACTGGACTGTCGGCCGAGCTAAACGCGTGAGACAGCATAAAGAGACTTGTCGTTGACATTATTGACAAGGATCCCTGCTTTTTGGGCCGCTGCATATCAAAGGCGGAGATACTGAATCAAGGCCAAACTCTGCGAGACTGGTAGGTCATCGGAAGACGTTCGGATAATGATTCGTTAATCAACATCGATATATATTCAAGATTCGTAAGTAAGCATTAAGTTGTTCTTGTCAACTTCGTGGTTGGTCAAGCGAAAGGGACAAAATCACTCATGGAACATTGTTTTCAGGTTCAGTGGATCACAGACTATCACCGACGAAGGAAAATCAGCAAATGCGAGAATTCGATTGAATTGTAGTTGATTACTCACGCAGTGACTCCCACGGTTTCGATGGGCAATCCGAGCATGGTGAGGCCCGTAAATATGAAGATAGCGGCGCTAGCGAAGACAGGGCTACAACGGATTATTTAGAAGGAAAATCAACAACAGCAAGATGACGACATACCCGTTCGGTGTCTTTCCTGCGTTACTGTATACCGCGATGACTATTCAATCAAACAGAAAGTATTGGCTTGACATCGGACTAAGGCTGAGGCAAGACTGACTCGGAGCGAACAAACCAGTTACCCGACTAGAAGCAGCGCAGAACGCATCACCGGTCCCACGACGAGGAGTCGGGAAGATCTCGGGCGCATAGCCGTAAAGAACCTTTAGTTAATCGTCAAGTAAATCAATCGCAGGATCTGAACAGCCACGATACACATCACGTACCCCATAGAAAGCATTCTCCCAGAAGCTCGCGATCGAGACCAAAGCATTTACCTGGACGGACGTTTTCGCTTGGCTAAAGACGACAATTATAATGAGCAACACCTCGGGCGACTCGAAACATAACACGAACGTAAGCGCAAAGAGGAAGACTCCCGACATGATCGTGAAGAAGGCCATCGAGAATTTACGTCCCGTGCGTGACCACTGAACCATAACCGCTGCCAAGATGGATCCGCCTACACCCGTGACGGCCTGGTAGGTGTATGCAGCTTCACACAAAATTCAATCGCCCATATCCGAAAGAAAAACAACACAGGTCTTACAGTAGGTTGCATCGATACCAGTGTTGCCGGTCTCTGCTTGGCGTGATGCCAAATAAGATCCCCTGGAAGTAAGAAAGAATGGGTGAGGAGAGGAATATTGTTTCTCGATGTTGAATATTACTCACAAAAAGGCGTTGAACAAAGGGTACGCGAGACCCAAGGCACCATCTGTATACTCTTAATAGTATAGCAGAGCAGAAAAGAAAGACTGACATACAAATGAAAATGATGAGACTGGACGAATACGCCAGACGCGGAGTGGCGAACAAGCCTTTCACATTCTCACCACTGAAGTGGTCACTATCACAAGCAAAGTTGAGTTGAGAAATATTTTCAAGAAAAAAACTTACAAGCTGTTCCGAATGAGCTGCATCGTAGAAAATTGTGTTTCGGAAACGTCAAGCTCTTCGGGGCCGTTGGGATCAAGATACGGTTTCGCCGCATCGCGCAGGTTCTGGACAGTCAGTGTCGAAGTTTTTCCATTCTTCTTTGCGATACGATGGATGACATCCACGGCATCTTGGTCCCGCCCGATACCTTTGTCCATCTCATGTCAACCATCTGCGTGACAAAACGGCAATAAATGAGGGAGGGACTCACTGACGAGGAACTTGGGCGACTCATCCATGGGGAAGAGAAAAATACGCGCGACACCAAGGAATATCATCATCGCACCGAGAGTGTAGTATGAGTCTTGAGAGGGATGAATCAGTAAGATTGAATCGATGACTAGAAAATAAACATACACCGCCAGCCGTTATTGTTCGTGTTATCGCATCGGTATACGATGCCGTCGACGACGGTCCCGACCAAAGACGCATCACACGAGTATCTATGAGTGCGAATGAGAGATATGAGGGGAAAATTATCGTCGAACAAAAACGCACTTGGCCAAGAACACCCAAGAAATCAACGAGCCGACGACTTGGCCAACCGCCCACCAAAGCGAAAGCAATGTGAGAAGATATTGATATTTTCCGGGGAGGAATTCCAAGAACAAAGCGCCGTCGACGGGGAGATTTCCTATTGCAACGAAATTGAGCGTGAACCATTCAGTTGAAAAGCAATTGAGCTTACCTCCGACGCCGAAGCCTTACATACAACGAACATAAACAACAAGTTTTGTCGAACTGTAACTCAGGATCCACGCACCGATCAAGGCAAGCAAGACTTTATTCCAAAAAATTAGTGACGTTGAACTCCCATGTTCAGGAATCTCCACAAACCACATAGACCGACAAAGTTTGGTGCAGCACCAGCACTGAAGAGATTAAGAATGGACGAGTAGACCAACAAGACAATCACGCACGCCACACCAAAAATTCCGGAAAGGAATAGTGTCGCATTCCACGCTGTTCGTCTACCAATCACATCGCATGTCATGCCCCAGAAGGTTGCCTGCGAAGTCGAATATGAGCAGCCGATACGCGGGACACCGAAGAAAACGGCTTACGCCCGCGATGAGTCCAGTGTAAAGTGCGAAAGTCGCCATCCGGATGTTGCTTGAATAGTCCGGGAAGTTGTGCTGGATTTCCGAGGTAAACTTTCCGCGAAAAACTGACGACTGGAGCGGGACAAACTTGGTTTGCGATAGCGGGCATCAAAATAGCAATTGCTTGCAGCCATATATCTTGGAAAATGATCGCCGTCAGCAACGTGAAATAGGCGGGAATGAAAGGAAGGGTCTTGCTCACTGTCTGCGAACCAGCTGAAATGAAGTGATACGATTACAACATGCTCCGGGAATGGACCAATGCCTGAGATACGTACCCGAAGCCTGTAAAGGAAGAACGATAAGCTCAGTCAGTTGTGGATAGGAAACGACGAAGCGGTAACATACCAGCACTGAGAAATAATTCATACTGCGCAATACAGTCAGTCACACGATCCGCCCATGAGAACACGGCCGAGCTTGCCACGTGAAATCGAAAAAAAGAGGTTGAACGAGATGTCGACCGGCACTCTAGTTCAGCGGGCAAATGAAATATACCTGGTATCTGGATGAAACGTGGGTACAATTGGAAAAGAGAAAGAAGAACCAACACATACCGTCCCAATCCACATTCCGCAATCGCGTCGTTGAGAACCTTAACTCTATACATACCCGGATCAGCAGCACATTCAGACCTGCGCCTCCAACACGCACTTGGCCAAAAAGATCGGTTTTATGCCTTCTTCTTTGGCTTTCTCTAGCAATAACTGGTCGCTGCGGTCATCGCCTGTTTTCTCGACAGTGCCCTCGGGGACTTTTTCGTCCTTTTCGAACTCCACAGCGCTCATTTTTCGTCTTTCCCGTGGTCGACGTTGCTGAACTTCGCCGGTCAAGAAGAATTGAGGTTATGAGATGAGAGCGGAGGACAAGAGATAGTCGACATCCCCATAAGCGATACTCTGGCAATCATTTTCGACACTCAAGCTCGGGTTAACAGCGCGGGCCGAATCCGATATTGGGACGCACGTTGTTGGGGAAATTTCGATATCCTCCAGGTACGCATTGGTTGAACTTCCTCGATCCCCCATCCAGGTATTCCACGTAACAGCTTGGGCCCGACCTTGAGGCTCCGAGGGCCCTTGACCACCGGAGAACACGGATTGCAGGGCGTTGAGAGGCTTTGGGCCATTCCATTGCCAAGGGTGTAGGTCCTGGGGCGCGGATGCTGCGGGACATGCTGCGGGACATGGGCGATCATCCCGAACCGCGCGTCGTGATTGATGTCAATATTGGTGTCCGGGGTCAGAGAGTTCAGTATCAGTGATGTCACTGTACATTTTCTTGTGTAAGGAAGTACCGGAACTATCGAGTCGATCTCGATCTCTCGACTCTCTGTTAGCCCTGTGCTAGAAAGTTTTTAGCACTTGCTATGCTATGCTAGAAATGTCGAGGTCCAAAGGACAATAGCTAGCACACGTTAATAACGCATTTCTAGCACATTTTTTTAGCAGTCACGTGCACTTATCGCACCGCCCTGGGGACAGCCCTGGGACGGTAGAATTTTGACCTGCAAGAGGTGGAAATATCTAGAAAACATCCTGGAAGGTTGTTACAGCAAGCAATGCTCATCTGAACACAAATTTCGATCTATAAGCCCAATTCGGACACTCGGCAAGCGCCGGTTGGACTCGATAAGCATCAGAAAAGGAAATTTCTCCACCATCTCATCGAAAACCGAATTTAAACCCTCTATCCTTCCGTGACCACTCAAATAAATGCCAGGATGGTCCCTCGGACACCCACAGTGCTGCTTGAATTTATAGCAATAAATAGCATGGGGTTTTGGACGGTCCTCAGCCTAGCAGCTAATAACGTGTTAATAACATGTGCTATATAGCATTGTTATTAACAATTGAGTTTACAGCACAGCGCTACTCTCTGTTACTTGCTGAAAGTTAGTTAGTTGCCTTTTAGACAGATTCTCGGCGATTCAGAGGGCTGCAGTGCGCTACACAGCTACAACGAGCTAGCCACAGGCACGCGGGCATATGGTGTAGTGGTTATCACTCTTGCTTTGCACTCACATTGTAAGGTATTGTAAGCGGTCCAGGGTTCAACTCCCTGTGTGTCCACGTTTTTGAATTTTTTCGTTACGCAGGGTAAATTTGCCTCTCAATTCGCGCCCAAGGCCACTGTCTTGAAGCTGCGAAGCGGTAATGTCAGCCGAGCACAATGCTGCACGACATTTCCGGCCTGAATTCTCTACAGCGGCTATCACTCTCTCGTACTGCCTGCTTCCTCCGCCTCAAACATCAGGGAATTATGTGCCGCTACCCCTCCTTCCGGATCCTCGCCGCCCTCCTCACCAATTATCCCTTCAACTGGCTTCATCGCGTCGGCTTCACTCCGACTCCTAGTCGCCTCCTCCCCACGTCCACTCCCGCTCTCGCTGAAACTCCCGGGCGCGCTACCGCTCTCAACAACACCAGAGAGGTCAGGTACATCCGCCAACCACTCATGCTCCAACATCTCCCCCGCGCTAGTCCTCAGCTCCGGATCCATATGCAACATCGGGAGCAGGAAATTCGCGATGGCATCCGCCTCCGGTTTTGGGAAGAGGTATTTGTCGTGTAAGACTGCGGTGAGAGGCCAGGGCCGTAGATTCGGGATGTGTAGCAATTTGCCTTTAGGGAGAAGTGAGATAGAGGAGCGAGAATCAGATAGTAAATACCTTTCGAATCGAAAAACTCTCCCGTCCACCTCCCGGACTTCCGTACATGCTCGGGAACCTCTCCAAGCAGCTCAATGATTTGAGCCAGATGATCGTCGTCTTTCGTATACTTTGGCCGCCCGCCAGCACCTCTCGGCGCCGGCGCAGGATCGAAGAGGTAATCCCCTCCCGTTAATAATTCAAATAACTGGCAACACCGAAAGGCTGAGTTCGAGGTCTGTGTCATTGAACAAAGGCAACGCACCACACAAGCTATACTCCAAACATCCGCACTCGGTCCCCACGCCGTAGATCCAATGAGCACTTCCGGACATCGATATTGCCTCGTTTGTATATCATTCGTGAAATGGTGTTCCGTCCAAGTAGCTGACAAGTATGAAGTCAGCGGCTATCCGTCAAATGAGACTGAGGCGCACTAACCATTCCCTAAATCCGCAATCTTCACTGTAATCAGCTCGTACTCGTCCTCTATCACCTCTTCGACCCACTCCTCCTCATCCCCAACTTTCTCGCTACTCCGGCTACCCATATCCAAACTTAAAGGCTGATGCGAGGAGCCAGATGGTGTAGTGGTATTTGTCGTCGTAGAAGCTGTCGTAGTCGGGTTCGTTGTCGTAGACGCCGCCGTCGCAGAAACAGTCGTACTCGCACCAGACGATGCCGGCGCAGACCTGGACACAGAAAGGGCTGACATAGCGGTCCCCAAATCCTGTTCATCCCCACCCTCGCTCCGCTCCTTCCCCTTCCGCTTCGTCTGGTCCGGTGATATCTTCATCATCCCAAGCCCCCACTTATCCCCTGGGATCTTCGATCGCCCTGAACTACTCAGACTACTCGGGCTCAACGACGACAGACTGACGAAACTGCTGGTCGGGCTGATGCTCGGAAGCGGCTGACTGCCTGTTATGTTCACATTGATATGGTGGTGTCGTCCGCCCGGCGTCAGGTTCCCCCCTCGACCGGTAGAAGCAGGGACACCGGTGAGCTTCTGTGGTGTCGTTGGCGGATGAGGAGGGTGGTGTGAGGCGGGGGGAGACGTGGATAATGTGGATTGTAGGCTGAGTTCGGTTTGGATTACGGATTCCACTTCGGGGATGTATATGAGGACGTTCTCTGGCTTGAGGTCTACCGTGCGTCAACAAAACGGAACTAGAGGCCGGATTGGGAATTCCACGTCTTACCTGTGTGTATAACCCCACAACATCGATGCATGTAGTCGAGCCCTTGGAGAACCTGTTTGGCAATTTGCTTGACGAGGGGTAAAGGAACGCCTTTATTCTAGAGTACGGGGATTCGAATTAGTGCTTCCTAGCAGAGAATCGGAGCGTACCTGATGCCTCTTGATCAGACCCAGCAGATTTTCCCCAAGCACCTCGAACACCATACAGACATGCTTTCCATTTGGGCCGGTATGTCTGAAGTGGTCGAGGAAAGAAATGACATGGGATTTCCCTGGATGTGTTACTGGCTTGTTCGGGTCGGAAGATGTCACCAGGCGTTGGAGGAGTTTTATCTCGTCCACCGCTGTCTCTGTGTACCGCGGTGCAGATTTAACGATTTTGAGGGCGACATGGCGCTGCATTCTGCATGCACACACATCCGAATTAACGAAATTCCCCAAAGCTGACGAAGTGAGACGTGCCTTTCGTCGCGTGCCAGCCATACTGTGGAGAAGTGGCCCCAACCAAGCTTCCGAACAACAGTGTAGCGGCTGTTGGAGAAGGTATCACCAATGGAGACGGGGTGGTAGCCGCCGAGTTTGTATTCCTGCCAGTCCTCCTCTTCTTCGGCCATAGGTTGAAGGCTGAGGTAAAGAACAAGCGCTAAAAAGGTGTGTTATCTGGGAATACACTCCTTATCTCTTCTCCGCGCATGTAGCCGGTTGAATCATCAAACGCAGTTCATTCGATTGAGCGATTCCCAGGTAGATTGGTGGGGTGAAGAGACAAAAAGATAGTCGGGGCATGCAGAGAGAACTGGCAGGGATGAAGACTAGAGTCCAAGCGCAATTTAGGGGTCCATCTAGAGTCTTGTGCAACTACTCGGCACATACGGCCGAAGGAAGTCAATACTGATCACATCATTGTCTTGGCTCACCGGGCCGCGGCCAAGGCTGGCCATCAACTTGCGCTGCTAAATTTGGCAATCTCTGGGATCCACCGTAACTTGGTGAGGTGTTATTTCATCTTCAAAAAGTATTTTGGAAATTCAGAACGCAATTTCTGTAGGCAAAATATTCATGTGCCTGTAAATTTTCAAGATGAGATCGTGCGGACTTCAAACACCAGGAGATTTGAACCCGAATGCAACCCGAATGACATCATGAGATGAAGTTCATGTGCGTCGAGTGGCCTAGAAACACGGAATTCAGCAAGTGAGCAGAGTCAGTGAGTTGATGTGCGAAGCTGAACACAAAGTGGGAGCGTCCGGATCCAGCAACAAATTTGAATACACTCGACCTACCTCAACTAGTACTGTGACATCTTGCATGCATCTTGCGCGGTTGTTCTACTTCTTCGTTTATTCCTACGGCGGTATGAACGGACAAACGCTCACATTTATATCACCCGAGTGCTGCGTAGCGGACATCAACAAATTGCCGCGCTTTGGAAGTAAATGAGTTGAAGGAAGTCTCACAGGCATGTTCACTGTTGAATTAGTCATGGACCGACTAGCATAGGCAGTCATGGCCTAGGACACAGTCAGAGCCACAGGGTCGTTAGTTCGAAAACCAAAAAGGCATGTGTGACCTGGCTCAGTTAGCGCAAAGCGATTCAGTTTCGCTTCAAGCACCTAGGGTTGAAAACATGATAGCGTCTGAGTTGATGTTGACCTGAAGGTAGAAAGACCCAGGCGTACAGAAATTAATAAGCCAGAGCCGCAGAGCTCCCGTTCTCATGGACGGGGACCATCTGCCATGTTCCGTAACGCAAAGAGAGAATTTCTGCGAACGTTGGTCCCAATTTAAATATTCTGAGTGCTTGGTGTTGGGCGACGGGTTGTACAGCGGCTACAGTCATTGGATGCGCTAGACAGGGATCAGCAAGTTATATCCCAGAGAAAAACCTTCTGTAGCCCACTCATGTGCTCGTAGGCGGTATTCCAACTCCGGATTGACTTCTCCCGCCGCATGAATCAAGTTCCACTGTCATCGACAAGAGTATGCGTTCAGAACATGAGCCCGTATTCAGATACATATAGCAGACGAGATTCAAAGCAGACGGCGAGAGAGGGAAACAAAACGCTGACCCGAGTCAAGAAAGAAGAGGCAACATTGAGCAAAGTTTGCGCGATGATCACAACTTGCCGCGGCGAACAAAAATTGACGCTGGCGGGCGGCTGGGAGGGTGCCCATTCAGGGAAAACCTCAGGGAAAACCTCAAGGAAATGTAGTTCAAAAGCCGAACCCCATTATTCACAGGTCCTTAAGCAATCTACACTTCTTGTGCATGAATTTCAACTTTCCCGCCCTTCATATTCTTTTCCGGGTCCACGTCCTCAATTCCGACTGGCAGCGATTTTTCCGACACCTCCGAATTCGTCGCGGTCTCCCTATCCGCCTCTCCATCCTGTTCGGCGCTTGTGGCGGCAGCACATGCACATCTGAATCTGTACCACGCTACGCCCGTCAATACATTCGCACCAACCGCAAAGAACACCGCCGGCCAAGGCATTTCCGCAGAAATTCGGACTACATTCAAGTTCCCGTCATTAGCGCCTCCTCAAACGCTGCAGAGGGATGCGGGAACTCACTGTATTGCACATCACGATATCTCAACGCAAAACCCAATCGATCAAGGATACTCTGTACCATCGCCACTGTCTCCGGAACTGCCTCAATCCCATCCTGCCGCACAACCAGCTTCCCGACGCGGGTGAACACGAACTGGGTATGGAACGATGCTGACATTACAAGACAGACACTGCTACCCAGCAACCCAGCCACTTGATATGGGAGAGTAACACTGGACAAGGGTTTCGTCGGAGGTTTCTTAAGGACCCGCCGGAGGACGAACGGCGGGATGATCTTGAAGACATCGTGCAGGATGATGATGGCGATATGGGAGGAGAGGAACGTGACTAGGTGATTCGAAACGAAGAGCAGGATAGAGGTTGTTCGTACATCTGTGCGGCGCGTCAGTTTAACCGTCACATAGGTAATGAATAGCCGACCCTGGTATGCAAGCCCAGCAGAGATCCCTGACGGAAGGTTCTCGTTGAGATGCTTTTGTGAGGTATGGTGTCTGTGCCCCATTAGCAGAATCCGCAGGCTAGATCACCCTCAACACTCACTTCGTCCAGACCTTCAAACACAATCCGCCCGAAACAATCGAGAAGACGAACAGCAAGAGCGAGAACACAACGCGAGGCGCAGCCAGCGGGAGCTCAGAGTGCACGAGC